CCCTGATGTTTTGATCCCTTGGATCCACGCTGTCCGTCTCCAGCTCCGCGAGCGGTTCCACTCGGACTTTCCTGTCCTGCATCTGCACTCTGACAGAGGTGGTGAGTTTACCTCCGACCTCTTGCGAGCCTACTGTGAGGAGCACGGCATCCGCCAAACGTTCACGCTTCCGGCCTCTCCACAGCAGAATGGGGTTGCTGAGCGCCGCATTGGCTTAGTTATGGAGGTCGCTCGTACCTCCATGATCCATGCGGCAGCCCCCCATTTTCTGTGGCCGTTTGCGGTCCGGTACGCCGCGCATCAGCTCAACCTCTGGCCCCGTGTCTCCGTGCCGGAGACTTCGCCCACACTGCGCTGGACGGGGGAGGTTGGCGATGCGTCGCGTTTCTGAGTCTGGGGTGCCTGTGTCTTTGTCCGCGATACCACTGCGGACAAGCTCTCCCCTCGTGCCATTCCCTGCGTCTTCCTTAGCTTTGTCCCTGACGCGCCTGGCTGGCAGTTTTACGACCCCGCCTCGCGCCGTGTCTTTCCTTCTCAGGACGTCATCTTTGACGAGTCAGTCCCCTTTTACCGTCTCTTTCCCTACCGCACTGCCCCTCTCCCCCCCCCGCCGCTCTTTCTCGCTCCAGGTCCTCCCCAGGTAGACCCCCTCCCCGCGCCAGGTCCTGCTCCTTCAGGTGATTCTGATGTAGACCCTCCCGTGCCTGCGCCTGTTGAGGTCACTGGTGACTCAGGTCCTGCTGGGGGTGGTCCTGCTCGGGGTGCTGTCTCTGGGGGTGCTGAGCCTGGGGGTGTGGAGCCTGAGCGTGAGGAGCTTGGAGGTGCTGAGCCTGAGCGTGAGGAGGCTGGAGGTACTACGCCTGGGGGTGCTGCGTCTGGGGGTGCTGAGCCTAAGCGTGAGGAGCCTGGGGGTGCTGAGTCTGGGGGTGCGGCGCCTGAGGGTACTGAGACTGCTAGTGCGCGGTCTCCTTGGAGAGGCCGCCTTCGTCCGCGTGCGCCTCTCTCCCCTCAGCAGCTGCACGAGTGGTACGCTAGCCGTCAGGGTCGCGCTGCTGGAGCTCGGGGCTCTGCAGCTGGGAGTGGTGCTGGTACTTTGTCTACAGGAGGTGCTGGAGTCGCTGGTTCCGGAGGTGCTCGTACTGGAGGTACTGGAGCTGCTGGGGCTGGCGGTGCTGAGTCTGGGGATGCCGCTGCTGGAGACCCTAGGGCGGGAGGTGCTGGTTCTGGGGGTACTGCTGCTGGTGACGCTGGTACGGGAGGTGCTGGAGCTGGAGGTTCTGGAGCTGCTGGTGACGCTGGTACTGGAGGTGCTGGCGCTAGAGGTTCTGGGGCTGCTGGTGACGCTGGTACTGGAGGTGCTGGCGCTGGAGGTTCTGGAGCTGCTGGTGACACTGGTACTGGAGGTGCTGGCGCTGGAGTTTCTGGAGCTGCTGGTGGTGCTGGCGCTCGAGGAGCTGGAGCAGGAGGTTCTGGAGATGCTGGAGGTGCTGGAGCTGCTGGTGGTGCTGGAGCTGCTGCTGGCGGTGGCGCTGCGCAGCCACGACTGTTCTTTGCTCCGCCGTCTCCGTCGTCTCTGCCACCGCCTGACTTTGTGCTTCGCCAGGTTCTTAGCCTCGCGTCGTCTACTGGTCTTCCGTTACAGCCTGGCTCACCGCTACCTGCTTCTTCTCCTTACAGTGAGCAGCCAGGAGGTCTTGCTGAGCGTCGTGAGCCTGCGTCGCGTCCTGTCTCGCCTGTCCGCACTGGTCGTCGTGTTCCTCGTCCGCGTCCGCCGGCTGTCCTCGACACACACCTCATGGCTCTGCATCCGTCCTCTGCTCCGCAGCGTGTTCCTCTGCCGTCTCCTCCTGCGTCTTCTCTGCCTGAGTCTGACCGGTTTCGTGCTGAGCACCCTACTATCACGCGTCTGCTAGCCACTGTTGTCACTGACCCGTCGTTTGAGTCTGCTGCTGCGTCTGCCTTTGTCGCTGAGCTTGTTGACTTTGCTGCTGCATGTCGTCTAGACTACACCGCTAGTCTTGTTGCTGAGTCTGAGTCTGTCTGTCCTCCGTCCGTCGGGGGTGAGTGTGCTCTTGGCATGGACGTCCTTGAGGACAGACAGGAGGACCTTGAGTGTCTTGCAGCCACTGCGCCTCATCTCGTGGCCATGCTGCTTGCCCCTGAGGGAGACCCGGATGCTCCAGACATCCCGACCCCGCGCTCTTACGCTGAGGCGATCGCGGGTGAGTACTCCTCTCAGTGGCAGACAGCCATGGACGCAGAGATGGCATCCTAGAAGTCCACAGGCACTTACGTTGACGAGGTTCCCCTTCCTAGGGCGAGCATCGTCGATGGCATGTGGATTTTCAGGGTGAAGCGGCCGCCAGGTTCTCCGCCTGTCTTCAAGGCTCGTTACGTTGCTCGAGGCTTCAGTCATCGAGAGGGAGTTGACTTCTTCCAGACCTTCTCCCCCACCCCGAAGATGACCACTCTTCGGGTACTGCTGCACGTTGCCGCTCAGCGTGACTACGAGCTTCACTCTCTTGACTTCAGCACAACTTTCTTACAGGGCAGCCTGCACGAGGAGAGCTCGCTGCGTTGCCCACCTGGCTTCACTGGGTCGTTCCCTCCTGGTACCTAGTGGAGCCTCCGGCGGTCGGTCTACGGTCTCCGCCAGGCGCCACGTGAGTGGCACGACACACTGAGGACGACACTTGCGGCTCTTGGGTTTGCTCCGTCGACTGCTGACCCGTCGCTGTTTCTGCGCACCGACACTTCGCTGCTGCCGTTCTACATCCTCGTGTACGTCGACGACTTGGTCTTTGCCACTGCTGACACTTAGGCTCTCGCCCTGGTGAAGTCGGAGCTGCAGAAGAGACACACGCGCACAGACCTGGGCGAGCTGCGCAGTTACCTTGGCTTGCAGATCACCCGGGACAGAGCACGCCGCACCATCACACTGACTAAGTCGCACATGGTGCAGCAGGTCCTTCAGCGCTTCGGCTTCACCTGGTCCTCGGCACAGGCCACTCCTCTGGCTACAGGTCACTCGCTCTCAGCTCCACCTTCGGACGAGTCCGTAGAGCCGAGTGGTCCTTACCCAGAGCTAGTGGGCTGCCTCATGTACCTGATGACCTGCACTCGTCCTGACCTTGCGTACCCTCTTGGCCTTCTGGCTCGCTACGTGGCTCCTGGTCGGCACCGAAAGGTGCACATGGATGCTGCTAAGAGGGTACTACACTACTTGTGCAGTACATCGGGCATGGGGCTCGTGCTTGGAGGATGGAGCGACGTTGTCCTCACTGGGCACTCAGACGCTTCTTGGGTTGACGACCAGGCTACGCAGCGGTCGTCACAGGGTTACACCTTCAGCCTTGGCTCTGGTTCAGTTTCTTGGCGTTCTACACGCTCATCTTCAGTTCTCAGCTCCAGTTGTGAGGCTGAGATCTACGCCACAGCCATCGCTGCACAGGAGTTACGCTGGCTCACCTACCTGCCAGGGCTCTTGCTAGGATTCAAGCCCGTCTGAAGACATGTATAAAAATTTTCGTTTGGTCTGACGTTTTGACGAGGAAAAAAGGTTAGTCTGAACTTTCAGACGAGTGCAAACGTCACGTCTGATTTTTCAGCTGAAATAGATAGTGCTGTCTGTTTTTTTTCAAATTGCATCAAGTAGTGTATTACCGTATATCGATTCAGGGCGACACAACCTAAATGTGGAAGGTTGTTGGGCAGCTCGCGGCATGCTGAGGGCAGGGGTGTTGGGCTGCGACAAGGACTTCGGGGGAGTTCGGCTGGGGGTGTTGGGCTGTTGCGAGACTTTTCGAGAGGCATGGGAAAGCGGGCTAGGCTAGGAGCGGGGACCTGGGGAGGGGACCTAAGGCTGGGGGAAAGGGGGAGAAGGGCTGGACTAGGCCAGTAATATCGGGACGAGGAGCGAGGGCATCAAATGGGGGGCTGCGCTATTAGAGAAGCGAGGGATCGGGGGGGAAGAAGGGGGGGGGGGAGAGGGGATTGGGGTCGATATCAGACAAAATGCAACCCCCTATCTGAGATTTCAAACGAAGTATAAGGCTTCCTCTGAAAAATCAGATGAACTGAAATTCGTAATCTTACAGATCAGACGAAGTAAACATCCTCGTCTTGAAAATCAGACGAAAACAAAAATCAAGGTCTGAAAATCAGAAAATCAGACCAATTTGGTCTGATAATGAGAGCCCTGCTACCTGCTGACCGACCTGGGAGAGCGGCCTCGTTCTCCTCTAGTGCTGTACGTCGACAACAAGGCCACCATTGCCTTGTGCCAGGAGCACTAACTGGAGCACAGAACGAAGCACATCGCTCTGCGTTACTTCCTGGCTCGAGAGTTGCAGCAGCGTGGTCAGCTTCGTCTTGCTCACGTGGCCACTCGGGCCAACACTGCTGATATATTCACCAAGGCACTTCCGTCTGGTGATCATCAGCGTTTCTGCACTTTGTTAGGCCTTGTGCCCACGTTTCCTCACTTGCTGTAGACTTTGCTTGTACTGTGATCTACATATATATACCTGCATGCTTACTCTTGCTAGGTAGTGATCACTGTACTGCTGTTGTTGCATATATATCTCTGCATGTGAACTGGCCTTGTGGCCCTCTGCTTGTGCTCGGTCTGTGTGGTGACGTTGTGATCCACCCCGAGCTTGCTTTGCTTTTCTTGACAGGTCTTGTGACCCCTTGTTCTCCCCCACTTTGCCTATGGGGGTGTGTCAAACTATACGCCTATGTCATAATAAAATGTAGGCTTTAGTGGGGTAGCTAATGTAGGGTATAGGTTTTGTTACTTGTACCCAACTTTCTCGATAGTGCAACAACCTTTCCCTTTACTCTCGACATGGTATTCTCTGGTACTGTAATGCTCAAGAACAATGGCCAGTACAGAGAAGGAAAGGGTCTCAACAACTTTGTTGAGAGGCTCATTTACTTTCACACACCTCATCTCGTACCGGCAAAGAGGACCACACTAAACAAATGCAGATTCAATGTTACATCTCGCTAGGGGAGCGTGGGCGCATGGCCACTTGTATAGCTCCAGAACTATCCTCGCAAATCACCATATGCTGTGCCTCATCCGACCCTAAAGGCAGTGTAGCCCACGTGAAACCAGTGTCACCAGCACCAGCAGAACCCGCAACACCGGTATTACCCAGTGCAGCATCAGAATTATCCACTGCTGCCACTGCCGCTGCCACCGCCGCTGCAGCAGCAGTATCTCGCTTTCCAGCAGACCTAGCTCCGAATCCATACTCCGCAAACCCATCTGCTGCAGCAGCAGCAGCAGCAGCAGCGTCAGAAGCGGAAGCAGAGACCGCTGAGACGGCAGCAAATAAATCCAGGCCCACCTCGAGCTGCTGGTCTGGTGAGAGAACTAGGTGTTGGGAGGAGCCCTGCTGGGGGGTATGACCAGGGGAGGTTCGATTTGCACTCGGGGCGGACTCAGGGGCGGTTCTGCTTGTCGGAAAGACCGCGGCCTGGCCAGAAACTATTCTCTGTGTTGCGCCCGCAAAGATATTATTCGGGGCCTCGTCAGGAACCAGCACCACAGCTGCTGACGCGGACCGGCTCTTGCTGATGTGGACCGTCGAGCTGCTGACGCGGACCGGTGAGCCAATCACAGGGCTCGACGACACATCTCCTGCTCTCTTCGGAAACACTGCATTGTCTCTTCCCGGCGACGCACCACCAACCACAAAAACATCACTATGCGATTGATTATTATTCCGCGCTTGACTAATCAGCTGCGCATGCGCTAGCAGAATCTCCTGTGCTAGCAGCGAGCCCTCAAGGCTCTCCTTCTGGAAAGACCTCTCGGTGGGGTCCTGATGCGGGGCTGTGGAGTCATGCGGGTCATGCTGCGTGCTCTGCGGGTGTGAGGGTCGCTGATCGCTCTGCAGATTTAGGTGTTGCGAGTTGAAATCGAGATCTGCAACGAGTTGCATGTCATCTAGAGTGAACGAGTCTAGGGTGCTCCATGGGAGCTCCACGCCCCCCTCCTGCCCGTTCTCTTCCCCCTCCCCCTGCTCCTGCTGCTTCACTGCTAGTTCCTCCAGCTGCTCCTGCATCAGACCCCAGTCATCAGGGATGAGTGACTGCCATGGCTGTAACTCATGCCTCTGCTCTTCTGCTTCCTGAGCTCCCAATCCCTCCTCCCCTTCCTCTCCTAGTTGATTCCCGCCCCCCGCCTGCTCTGATCTCTGCTCCTGCTTTAGCTGCTGCTGAGCCTGCGCTATCAACTCCTGTATACTAACCTCCTCCCCTTGCTGCTGCCGCTGCTGCTCCCCCTGCTGCTGTAGCTGTTGCTGCTGTTGCTGCTGCCGCTGCTGCTGCTGCCACTGCTGCGTCAGATCATCACTCAAAAACGCCTGCGCCAATGCATCATAACCCATACCCTCCATACTCTGCCCTCCGCCCGCACTGATCAAGAAATCCCCGCTCGCAGCAGCAGCAGACGAGGCGAAGCGGGGGGAGAAGAGCGCTGGGCTGGCGGAGGCGGAGGCGGAGGAGTGGCTGTGCGCGGATCGGGGGGAGATGGGGGGAGGGGACGATGTGAGATGTGATGTATGCGAAGAGGACGTGAGATTCCGCGTGAATAAGGTGTTGAGAGCGGTTCCAAGCTTGTGAGCCATGGTCTCGTCCTTCCCCAAGCCCCCCCCTCCCTGCGCCTGTGGGTTATACAGTTGCTGCGCCAATCCGGGGTGATTCGGGGTGGCGAATCCTGAGTGCGGGGGGGAGATGAAGCCCGAGGGCGGGGGGGAAACGAGCCCCCCGGAGGGGCGCGGGGAAGCAGCGCGGGTGCTGCTCGGTGAAGTGCGGTTGGGGGAGAGAGACGCCATTTGCAGCATCGCTATTGCTTCTGCTAGCGACGGGGGCGGAGGCGCGGAGTGCATGAGCGGAGGAGAGGGGCTAGACGTGGGCTCTGTGACGCTCCGGGGGAGGGTTGGGCGGGATATGGGGAAGTCATGCGCGGACGCGGGGGGGGAGGGGAAGGCGGTGGGGGAGAGGGGGAAGTCTTGGGAGGAGGCGGGGGGGGAGGCGAAGGAGGGGGAGTGGGAGGTGATCGCTTGGCAATGGAGGTTCGAGAGAGCAGCGAGGGTGGCCGCATGGGAGGAGAAAATGGATAGATTGGCGTTTGCTCCGGTGGGGGAACCCGGGAGGGGAGAGAGGTACGGGGACTTCGGAGAAGGGATGGGGGAGAGCGCGCGCGGGGGCGTGAAGTGGGGGGAGGAGTACGGGGTGAGCACAGGGGAGAGGGAGGTGGGGGAGGAGGAGAAGAGGGGGGAGGAGCACACGGGCTGATCGGAGGGGGTCCAGCGGGGGAGCACGGAGGAGGGGGGCGTTTCGTATTGAAACGAGTGTAGCAGCTCCTCCTGCATCGAGAAATCGAAGCTTCCTGACGCCTTCGCCAGGGACCCCTTCTGCGGGGCTGCTCCGCCGCCCTCCCGCCCTCCGCCCCCACCTCCCCCTCCGCCCCCATTACCCCCTTCTCCCCCTCCCCCTTCGCCACCTGCTCCCCCTGAACCCCCCATCCCGTCCGCGCCCGCAAACATCCCGCTGATCCCGCCCGCGCCACCGCCGGCGAGCGCATCTTGCGTTTGCGCGGAGAGCGACGACAGCTGACCTGCGAAGGCCATCAGCGAGTCGGAACCAGGCGCGGAACGCGGGCCGAGCTGCGCCGGGTCCGCCATTAGTGAAGTAGGCGGATTGTTGCCGCCAGCGCTCAGACCGAACGGCGCGGCGCCGCCTGCTGCTGCTGCTACCGCCGCCGCCGCCATTGCTGCTCCTGCCTGCGCTCCTGCCGCCCGCCGCTGCCACAGGGACGGCTGAGCCGCGCCGCTGCTACCGCCGCCAGTACCGCCCTCGCCGCCCCCTCGACTGTTGCCGCCGGCAGCAATGCCGGTCAGCTGTTGTCCGATCTCCTGCCGCCCAAGGTTCTGCAGTAATTTGCTGACCTGGAGCGCGCTAACGTGGCTGCTGCTGCTGCTGCCGGCCCTCTGCTGATGAACTCGACTCGCGGCCGCCTTGCAAATCGCTTCGTCTAGGGTTTGTCGTAACGCGGCGTAATCATTACCATCGCCGGCCGTCAGCATGCGCAGCGCGTCTAACCCGCCGTCGTTCGCGCCCCCGCCTATTATTCCGTTCTTCAACAACGAATCCGCGTCGCCACTCTCTATATTTATCCCACCCATCGCCGCGCCTCGAATGTGCGCGTCGCTAATCCCGAGGGTAAACTGCCGCTCGGATGACACAGGCTGTAGCAAAATCTCCGCGCTGCTACTGGCGCGCGGATGATGTGAAGAAGGGGTGCTGCCGGCGCTGCGGAGGTGCGGGCGGTGGTTATGGTCGTTGATGTACTCGATTTTGAGCGGCGCCTTGCTGTCGGCCTTGCTCATGTTGACGATGCGCTTAGCGGGACAACGCGCGTCCGTGTTTCGAAGCATGCAGTGGAAATAGTGCCTGGCGAGTGGATAAAGGGAATAGCGCGCGGAAAAAAATGAGAATGGGAGGAGAAATGAAGTAAGATGGGAAGAGAAGAAAGGGTAGGGCAGGTGCATGATGAAGTGAATTTGCAATGGCAGGTTCCAGCACTGCGACATAAAAATCAGTGGCGTCGTATTTTTGCGGTTCAAATAATCTCAACGAGATATCGCGCTTCGTTTAGCACTTCGTCTGATACAGCCTTTGCTGGCGTTCCTCAGGCATAGCCCACCAGACAGCTAAAGTACCTCATTTGTAGCTCGCCGGACAGCTGTCTTACCTCATGTGTAGCCCGCCGGATAGCTGTTTTTGGCCGTATTTGACCCAGTTGTAACCGTCACGCGGCAGCAGGTGCTTGTACGGGAACGGCTGCTTTCGTCGCGGCCGTCTGCAGCGGAAGGCGGAGAAGGGATAGGGGATGGAGAGTGAGAGAGGTGAAGAAGAGATGAGCGGACACGGCAGGAGGCTAGGGTTCGCGTGGGAGACGAGAGACTAACGCATTTACTCCGTATGAGGAATAATCCGTCGAAGTGAGCACCTTGAAGCATGCGGGGTAACGATGTCGGAATTAACGAGACACATTTGGGAAGGGGTGGGATGATCAGGGCGAAATTCTGACCTCATGGATGGGAATCCGAGAATCCCGGAACGGAATCGGCGAGAATGAAGACCCTAAACGAGGATCCGAAAACGCACATCTTTATCATAGTAACAGGATACGACAACCTTGTTCATGTGTAGCAGGTAATCTAAATCGCTTACTTTGCAACTGTCCCGTCTTTTTCTTTCGAAGTTCCTCCTCCGTTTTCATTCGTCGGGCTCGTTGTCGTGGCGGCCTGTCGAAGGGCGGGAAAGTCGTCTTGCTCGTCGTATTCATCAGTCGCGTCGCGGCTTATGCCGCTCTGATCCATGGCCTCCAGCCCCGAAGCATCAATCGCTTCTGCTGCGTCGGAATGCCGGCGATCTTCTGCGCAATCCGCGGTGGATCCGGGGGACCGCATAGCTGAGGCCTGTGTTTTTATTACGCACGAGGTCAAAACGTTACTGAACTAAGGTGGTTAGGGAGAAATTGGAGACTATGGAGGAAACGGACGGAAGCTAGAGTTGTTCTAAGTGGAGAGCGAGAGTTGTTCGAAGCCGAGAGCGAGAGTTGATCGAAATGAAGCGGACAAGACGAGAATGAACTTTCAGGGGACCTTGAGCTTGGGCTCTCGCACTCGCCTGACATTTGCTTTCAAGTTTGCACGTGACAGCCATCTCCTAGCCAGCCACTTGTTTTCCCGCCATAAATTGAGGTTCTCCGTGGTCGATGCCAGGAACTCCCCCAGGAAATGGTCCCTAGAATTCTTCCTGCTTGCTGTGGAAAATCCCAATTTGCTGCCCCCCCCACTGCGAGAACCATGGTCTGATAAATTCTTGAGCAGACCGGTTCATTGTCACAACCGAAAATCAAATTGAATTCAGTGCCCCGTGTTTGCTTTGGGGTTGGCAAGCCGTGCCAGTTGTTCGACACAAGCAGCAGCGCTGCCCTGACTGCGCTGCAGTGGTCCCAGCTTTGGCTGGCTTTGGCCTGACGTCATCGTGTGGGACGCGGTTTCAGATTTGGTTGTCTTGGGACCAAGCCTCGGTCGGTACAGTGCATCATTTTAAACCTCCGAGTGACACATATTCTACGTTCATTACTGAAAACACTTTAGGAACTCGTCTCCGAACCGAACACCGTTTAGAGCCTCCATACCTGCAAAACTCAAGCAGGAAACACCCGTTTATGTATGTTCGACCACATTTATGTACACCCAATTATTCGTTTGATGCACCCGCGATTGTGCCACCGGCTCAGTACGTTCACATAGAAGGTTGGGAGCGATGCGTTTATGTCACATAGAATCGATTCACACGCGTGATCAGTTCAGCATTGAATTGCTAAACGTTGAAGAAAATTGGTGGCAGAGCACTACAGTTGCAAGCATTCGCGCTAAAGACGAGGCCAAATTTATTAGTTATGATTAGGTCAAGCCGGCCTACAGTTGCAAAAACGTATTTATAGCCACATTTTGGGAGCAAGGGACGGCAATACGCAGGGAAATGTGACTCGCAGACGTTAAAAGCACCGGGCAAAAACGACAAGCACCTCCGACCGAAACGCGCTCGGTGAGATAAACGAATAAGTGGGTGTACTCACACTCTTAAGGGTGGCCTTGAAACGAACTATCCACCTTGACCTGACCTAGGCTGTCGTGGCAACAAGGTTTTAATATCGATGTGATAAACACGACGTGTACATCATAACCGGATGATATTGGCCCCAATCGACCTCTGTTCGCACGCGCACATAGAATCATACAGTATTTCCGTTTCTGTACACTCTACACAGTTGGCTAGACCCTACACTACCACAGCGCCAGTGGGAAGTGCGTCCGCGCCACATTGGCCCCCTTTTCTCATGAACTGTACGTGCTAAAAAACGTTTAACCGCATCGAGTCCTTGAACTCTCAGTTAAGTGTCACAGTCCTGGTGTGCTTGGGTGTTAAGCCTTACTGGTCGGGAGGGGTTCGTATATGCGAGGAGATCGTGGAATGATGTGGATGGAAGCTAGATGAAGCTACAGTGACGAGAAGGTCAGGCAAGAACGGACAAATGAACTCAAAACACCCATGCAGAGAACGGAAATCAGGGACGAGGTGGTGTGGATGGGATGATGGGAAGCGGGGGAAGTGAGGAGATCGCGGGATTCGTCTGTTTGCTGTGTCGGTGTTTAGGGCGTGTCCAGCGCGTACGTTTAGAGGTACTATACAGTTCATTTGTCGAGGTGAGAAAAGATATCAGGCGGTGCACAGCAGTTTTAAAATTGCACCGTTTTGAACCTTGACGCACTACAGATTACCGCACTGGATGAACTGTAATGTACGGATAATGTACGTGCTGGACCCGCCCTTAATACAGCTCCACGCTTTAATACACCATCCATCGGTTCGTCGACAATGCTTCTGCAAGATCCTGTTTTCCAGCTAACTTACTGCACAGAAGGTCCAAGACATTCCATTGTTTGTTCCAAGGGTGTTAAAGCCCAAGACCTGAATTACAAATCAAAAAGGGCAAACTGTGCACAGTTTGCCTTCCGAGCCCAATGAACACCTCCCGAGCCAGTGGGGTTACCAGAAAACGTCGCACCCCACAAAGACCGTGTCGTAGAGCAGAACGCTTCAACTTGGCGAGACTTCCAACCACCCCTGCTGAAGGAAGAAGGGAACTGCCTGTGCACAGTTTGCCTAGAAATGGTAATTCAGGAATGCCTGTGCGGCTACTAAGCGAGACTCTAAGCTTTTGCCCCTAGCACATTCCCACCTTCAACCCCGATGCAACACGAAATTTAGGAATGCGCTCGTCACAAGCGTAAAATGCTCGAATCCCATATTACGAGACGTCGCGCTAAACAGGATCAAGAGGCGTAGGGAGGAAATCCCCTCACATCGGCCTCCCCCTTGACGCACCGTCACCCTCGTTTCCCCCGTGGTCCCCGTCGCCATTGCCCTCCCATCGTCCTTACCCCTATCCCCTCCCATCGCTTCCTCGTCGTCGTGCCCCATTGCGGCGCTTCGTGCACCACTCCGCGACCACCCACTTTCAGCGTCGTCGTGTCCCCACAACGCCCCGCTATCCTCACAGTCAGGCCCACGATTCCACGCGCGGGAAGCCCGTTTCTCAAGCCCACGTTTCTCCTCCCTGCGCGCGCACCGTTCCGGTAAGCCCGCGCGGGAACCTCTCGCCACCCCGCGCGCGCTCTTCTCGCCTTCCGCGCGGTATCCCATCGCATCCCAGCGCGCGCTCCTCTTACCGCCCCGCTCGGCCTCCTCTCACCATCCCGCGCGTGCTCCTCTCGCCTCCCCTCGCGTGCTCCTCTCGCCTTCAATGCTCGCGAATCTCTTGCCTCCCCGCGCGGCCGCCTCTCGCCTCCCCGCGCAGCCTCCTCCCGCCATCCCTCGCGCGCCCCTCTCGCCTCCCCGCGCGTGCTCCTCTCTTCTCACCTACTCGTTCTCCTCTCGCCTCCCCTCGCGCGCCCCTCAAGCCTCCCCGCGCGTGCTCCTCTCTCCTCACCTACTCGTTCTCCTCTCGCCTCCCCTCACGCGCCCCTCAAGCCCCCCCGCGCGTGCTCCTCTCTCCTCACCTACTCGTTCTCCTCTCGCCTCCCCTCGCGCGCCCCTCAAGCCTCCCCGCGCATGCTCCTCTCTCCTCACCTACTCGTTCTCCTCTCTCTTCACCTTGCATGCCTCCCACGCCTCCCCGCGCGTGCTCCTCACTCCTCACCCTGCGTGCTCCTCTCGCCTCCCCGCGCGTGCCCCTCTCTCCTCACCTCCAATGCTCTTCGATCGCCAACCTTGCGCGTGCCCCTCTCTCCTCACCCTGCGTGAGCTCCCCTCTCCTCACCTTGCGTGCTCCCCTCTCCTCACCTTGCGTGCTCCCTCTCCTCACCTTGCGTGCTCCCCTCTCCTCACCTTGCGTGCTCCCCTCTCCTCACCTTGCGTGCTCCCTCTCCTCACCTTGCGTGCTCCCCTCTCCTCACCTTGCGTGCTCCCCTCTCCTCACCTTGCGTGCTCCCCTCTCCTCACCTTGCGTGCTCCCTCTCCTCACCTTGCGTGCTCCCCTCTCCTCACCTTGCGTGCTCCCCTCTCCTCACCTTGCGTGCTCCCCTCTCCTCACCTTGCGTGCTCCCCTCTCCTCACCTTGCGTGCTCCCCTCTCCTCACCTTGCGTGCTCCCCTCTCCTCACCTTGCGTGCTCCCCTCTCCTCACCTTGCGTGCTCCCTCTCCTCACCTTGCGTGCTCCCCTCTCCTCACCTTGCGTGCTCCCCTCTCCTCACCTTGCGTGCTCCCCTCTCCTCACCTTGCGTGCTCCCCTCTCCTCACCTTGCGTGCTCCCCTCTCCTCACCTTGCGTGCTCCCTCTCCTCACCTTGCGTGCTCCCCTCTCCTCACCTTGCGTGCTCCCCTCTCCTCACCTTGCGTGCTCCCCTCTCCTCACCTTGCGTGCTCCCCTCTCCTCACCTTGCGTGCTCCCCTCTCCTCACCTTGCGTGCTCCCCTCTCCTCACCTTGCGTGCTCCCCTCTCCTCACCTTGCGTGCTCCCCTCTCCTCACCTTGCGTGCTCCCCTCTCCTCACCTTGCGTGCTCCCTCTCCTCACCTTGCGTGCTCCCCTCTCCTCACCTTGCGTGCTCCCTCTCCTCACCTTGCGTGCTCCCCTCTCCTCACCCTGCGTGGGCTCCCCTCTCCTCACCTTGCGTGCTCCCCTCTCCTCACCTTGCGTGCTCCCTCTCCTCACCTTGCGTGCTCCCCTCTCCTCACCTTGCGTGCTCCCCTCTCCTCACCTTGCGTGCTCCCTCTCCTCACCTTGCGTGCTCCCCTCTCCTCACCTTGCGTGCTCCCTTCTCCTCACCTTGCGTGCTCCCCTCTCCTCACCTTGCGTGCTCCCTCTCCTCACCTTGCGTTCTCCCTCTCCTCACCTTGCGTGCTCCCCTCTCCTCACCTTGCGTGCTCCCTCTCCTCACCTTGCGTGCTCCCCTCTCCTCACCTTGCGTGCTCCCCTCTCCTCACCTTGCGTGCTCCCCTCTCCTCACCTTGCGTGCTCCCCTCTCCTCACCTTGCGTGCTCCCTCTCCTCACCTTGCGTGCACCCCTCTCCTCACCTTGCGTGCTCCCCTCTCCTCACCTTGCGTGCTCCCCTCTCCTCACCTTGCGTGCTCCCCTCTCCCCACCTTGCGTGCTCCCTTCTCCTCACCTTGCGTTCTCCCCTATCCTCACCTTGCGTGCTCCCCTCTCCTCACCTTGCGTGCTCCCCTCTCCTCACCTTGCGTGCTCCTCTATCCTCACCTTGCGTGCTCCTCTATCCTCACCTTGCGTGCTCCTCTATCCTCACCTTGCGTGCTCCTCTCTCCTCACCTTGAGGCCTCCTCTCTCCTCACCTTGCGTGCTCCTCTCTCCTCACCTTGCGTGCGCCTCTCTCCTCACAATACATGCGACCATACTGGATTAAAGGGAGGCCTTGCGACGCTTCGTGAAATGGCTCCGCTACCACCCACTTTCGACGTATGCGGGTCCCTACCACTTCCCACTATCCTGACAGGGGCGCCCACGTTTCCTCACTCGGGAATCCCGTGCACACGCACACGTTTCTCCTCCCAGCGCGCGCACCTGCCTGGTAAGCCCGCGCGAGATCCTCTCGCCTCCCGCGTGCGCTCTTCTCGCCACTCGCGCGGCATCCTATCGCCCCCCCGCACGCGCTCCTCTTGCCTCCCCGCGCGTCCTCCTCTCACCATCCCTAGCGTGCTCCTCTCGCCTCCCCTCACGTGCTCCTCTCTCCACACCATGCGTGCACCTCTTTCCTGTACCTCGCGTCCTCCTCTCTCCTCACCTCGCGTCCTCCTCTCTCCTCACCTCGCGTCCTCCCCTCTCCTCACCTTGCGTGCTCCTCTCTCCTCACCTCACGTCCTCCTCTCTCCTCACCTCACGTCCTCCTCTCTCCTCACCTCGCGTCCTCCTCTCTCCTCACCTCGCGTCCTCCTCTCTCCTCACCTTGCGTCCTCCTTTCAACTCACCGCACGTCCACCTTTCTACTCACATTGCGTCCTCCTTTCCTCCAAATCACCAACAGTGAGGATCTAGGAGGCGTGAGGGACTTCACCTTCTCTCTCCACGCTGCCTCCGCGTCTCGCGACAGCCTCCGTTGGCGTCGCTGATCGCGTCTTTTGCCCTCACCCCCGCCCACACTCTTGCAACGGCGGTGCTTCCGCAGTCCCCCTGCACGCCCGCAGAAAACCCTCGTTGCACGCCCTCTATTTCCCACATGTACGCCCTCGCTCCCCCTCTGCTCCTCTTGTCCCCCTATGCTCATCTTACCCCCTTCCGCTGGTCCTTCTCCTTTCTGCACCACTTCCAACCCGAAGCTCCGCTGTTCCCCCTATGCCCCTCTTTTTCCGCCCAGCTCCACTTTTCTCCTGTGAGGCTCCTTCGCTCTCTGCTCCTCTTTCCCTCCTCTGCTCCTCTTGTCCCCCTCTACTCATCTTTGCCCCCTCACTCCCTTCCATCCCACTCAACTGTCACCCTCCCTCCCTGTTTATCACCCTATTTTTTGCCTCGCATCCCAAATGTTCTGACACCACACTCCTCACAGCTTCCCCACATTGGGATTCCCACCTCATTATTCATAGTTTCTGAGTATTCTGTCTTCAAATCTGACATCCATCACTAGCCATCCACAGCACCTTGACATCAATTCTGCAATTCCCTCCCTCCCATCCGCACTTCCCCCGTCCCCTACTACGCCAGCTCACTCGCCCCGATCTTCTGTTGCTACTCAAGCGCCCGTGCACCCGACGCCGGTTCTTTAGATGGGAGCCCTCCCCCCTTCCATCTCTGCACCCCTACCTTCCCAACCCCCAGCCGTCCCATTTCAAGAACCTATTACACAGTCTCCATCCCTAATCTTCCTGCCCACACAGGTTCAATATGGTCCCTCGGTTGATGCTTCATTCCTCTCGTGCTCTCCCTGCCTTATCTTTCCTCCAAATCACAGCCCCTTAACACTACTTTCCATCACCCCTATTAGCCGTCCCATTGCCCTTTTCCACACTGAACCATCACTCTCCCTTTCCTACTTCTCTCACATTAGTTTAGGGGTTTAGGGTCCCCGCGTCCCACAAGCTCATACGCGAGCACCCTCACCGCCTTCCCATGTTGGAAATCCCCCTGCATTATACCGAGTTGCCGTGGGTGCCATTCTAGCTCCCATGCCGTCCCCTTTCTGGGTTGCCCATCCTCAATCCCTTCCATCCCACCTCTCCTCTCTTCCATCGCAGCACCCTCGCATCCTGAGTTTCTGATTAGCCTTACTTCCCATCTGCCATCTCTCCCTTGCCATCCTCCGAACCTCTTTGTAATTAAATCTGCAAACCCCTCTTTCCCATCCGCACTTGCCCCGTCCCCTCCTATTCCTCTCCCGTCACCGGCGCAAACATAGTACCACTATTCCTCTCACTTCTCCTCTTTCCCATCCGCAATTGCCCCGTCCCCTCCCATTCCTCTCTCTTCCCCTTTCTTCCTTTGCTTCACAGCGGCCTGTGAACCCGGCTTCAGTCCTTGCGCTGTAAGTCCACGCCCCTTTATTTCCCAGCACCCCTACCTTCACTCGTGGTTTTGGTTTGGCACCCCTTTCTTCCTTTGCTACGCTGCTCCAAACCTTACCAGAGTTCGTTCTCATGGTCCTCCGATCCGGAGGACCAACTATACGGTCTCCTTCCCTCGTCCAGCTGCCGGACCTGTCGTGCAGTTCCTGACCTGCCCACCCTCCCCTTCACATCCAACTCACTTCAGTGACTTGCGTAATCCGAAACCGAAGCCCCCCCGCCCCCTCCCCTTTCACTCCCTAACCCCTCTCTCTCTCTCTCTCTTGTTTTTCTGCCTGATATTCTCGTTTCTCACACTCTAAACCACACACCTCATCAGCCATGTCATCATGGCGACGTACTCCTCGGAGACGGCTGACGCTTGGATTCAGGGTTGGGGAGGAGGGTTCCGAGGATGAGGAGGAGGAGAGGGGTCGGCGACGTGGACCGGAGTCGATGGTCACGGCAAGTACGGGCACCCTCTCCGCCCATACTCGTTCGGTTGCCGCGAGCACAACGCATCCCCTTCCCAGAGTTCGATCTCGAAGAGTTGTGCAACCAACGGGACTACCCCCACAGGTTCAATATGCAAAAGAACGGTGGTCCATATCTGAGTTTGAGGCGCGATTTTCCAAGCAATATCGTGTTCTTGACGCTTGGGCGCGACATTGGCTCGGATTGTCGGACGAGGAGGGCCCCGGGAGTCAGAGAATTAGTGTGGCGAGCATTCTGAGGGTGTGCTTGGGAAAAAACACGGATGAGGATATGGATGGTCAACCTATGGGGGCAAAGAACCATCGTTTTCGTTGCTACATTCAATACTCTGCCTTGTTAGGTGATCATCAGTATGCACAGGTGACTTTGCCATGGCTAATTCACGTCGTGATCGGCTCGCTTTACCCCGAGCCAACGGGCGTGGGTTACAGAAAATGTAGTCAAGGCGATGTGGACTGGTTCAACCTGGAATGGGTCATCCCTGACGAGATTGATTTTGGGATGAGTTCAATCGATGCTAGACAATCGTCAATTGTCCACCTGGCGACTCAGGAGTCTGGAATTTACTGATTTTTAGTGCGGGAGGGAGGGTTATCGGGAACAACTTATTGTATTTACATGTGTTACTCTTTTTACACAGTCCGCAATAGTGTGATAGGTAGATGGATGACCATCACAGCAAAGCGACAACCAGATCAATGAAGTAGCCCTTTGTGTGCAGTCAAGTATGTTACTGGATGGGGAAGGGAATGTTTCAATTCCCAGCTTCTAGCCATGGGGGAGCGAGTAGAGCATACAGTGGCGACGCCGCTGTCGCTTATTATGGCACAGGCATGAAAGACATTCCATGCTGCACCATTGAAGACAATGCGTCTCCTGGAAGCTGCCGGTGTGTACTGCTTTGTTCGTCACCCTGCCACAGCTTGTGCGGCTATGGCTCATTATTACCCACACGTGAGAGGGATACGGTAGGCTGCGAGAGGAGAAGGGGAAAGACAGGCTGGAAGCGAGTGCTTGTGCAGGGGGAGGGGGGGAGTGGCACGATGTTGGCAGGGAGAGGAGATGGGGGAGAAGAGGTGGTATCGAAGGAAGGAGCCAGTACTGTAGAGACGGAGTTAGGCGAGGAAGGGGTGAGCAGGGAGCAAGGGAAATGGCTGGTGGTGACTTGGCTGATGTGCTGCGCAGCTTGGCCTTGCCCTTGCGGGTCTGAGCACAGATCGAGGCGGGAGGGCCGAGAGAGGTGGAGAGACGTGGAGAAAGGTGATCGGGAAACAAGAATGCTTAAATTGGTGCAGAGTGCTAGGGTCAGCGCTGACTGTACATTTTGAAGTGCCTTTCAGTGTAGTGCGTGCGGTGCGGACAGGGCGGCCACGGCGGGCATTCCGTGCACTACGGACAGCATGAGCAATGCAGAGCAGACAGGGCAATGACTCACCTCCCTGGCGAGGTCTCGGCCACTCTCTTCACAGATCTGCAGCATGCTCTCCGTTGGCTGACATGCAGGGGGAGATGGGAATGTGGGATGGAAGAGAGGATGGGACGGGGAAGAGAGGACGGGCAGGCAAGAGAGGATGGGACAGGAGGGATGGGCGGAACAGAAGAAATGGGTGTGCTCCCCTCTCCCGGATCGGTTAAAAATTGACGGAGAAATGGGAACCGGGAGCGAAAGGCAGGGAGATAAAACTGCTATGGCCAGGACACACGGGGTGTGCAATGGAACCTTCCTTCCCCCTCCTCACCAAGAACTTGCAGCGAATAGGTGGGATTCCGAAGGAGAACCCTCCGTCCTTCAACAGTCACCCCTGTGCATGTTGTATGCCTCTATGCCCCCCACGTCAAAGTCCTCCACCCGCTCCTGCTGCTCCGCCCTTCACCCTCTCCCCCTATCCACCGATGCATTATCTCCGCCCCTCACCCTCTCCCCCTATCCATCTCTGCATTCTCCCTATCATTAACACCGATGTAATATGTTTCATGCCCTGGCCTAGGCACGCCGAGGATGCGACATACCTCCCACATCTGCTGATACCCGATCCCGGCAAGAGCGAATGCTCCAATCATCTTACCCATCAATGGCGGACTACGTGGACCACGCTTGCTGGGAGGTAGGTCATCTCTCACTCGACTACTTGACCATAATTCTTCCTTGGCTGAGCAAACATTGCACAACCACATCAACCCCAGACATGCCCATGACCGCTTCCACGATTCAAGTTGCATTGCACCTCTGCACGCAGACCTCACGCACGTGCCTAAGGCGCGACCACAAAAGAACGATACCATCACCCTCGGATCGAGAAAACACACCATGTCGGCAGGAAAATCCTCCCAATTTGGGGGGTTTGGCCAACCACGAGGCCAACGACGCTTGCGCGTCACGCTGCCAGCATCCTGTCTGCATGCACAGAAATCAAGCGGGATAAGAAACTGGACTGGTTTTTCTGAGGGTGTGCACGTGCTACTGACCATCTTATCAATAAATGTGGAAAAGAACATATGGGTTATTATTTCAACACACAATTATTGCTTGTACCTGTTTGGCCCCTCAGAAGGGCCACCCGCTTGTTCGCTCGAATGAGCACCTCGCGGTTGTGTATTGTCTTCGACACTCACCCCCTCAACCCCATACACGTTCTCGGCCGGCAAGCACGGCCCATGTCCGTCCTCATTTGTTTGTGGGGTTTCTGTTGACATGCAGCGCTCTTCACAAGAATTAGGGCGGGCGGAAGCATTATTCGAGATGGGGGGAAGAGACTTTAGGAATGAAGTGCAGAATTCAGGATGGTTGAGAGGGAACTGAATCCCTCAAGAGTCGAGTGGGAAGGGATTCAAGGCAGGTCGGGGGAGGGTGGAAAGGACAAGAATCCAGGGCAGAGCGGGGGGCGACAGAATTCCGGGCAGTGCGACGGGGAAGAGAATTTAGCGAATAGGGACAGAAATATGATTTAGGGTTGGTGAGAGATAATAGGCAGAATAGAAGTGCAGGTGGCAGGGGGGACGGGATCGTTTTAGTCTTGGCAGTGCCGCGGGGGAAACAAGCATCAGGCCCACAGGGCTGGGAGGGGGAGGGAAGTTTTTGGTGGAACGATATTCATTCGCCTGGGGATCCGGTGTTTAAACGCAGCACGCATGTTTCGCACTAGCATCTAACTAGGTTCTTACCTTCACCCGGCAGGACGGTTGCTGCAGCTTGGTTGCGTTCCCCGCCCCATCCGTTTCCTTCTACTCTTCTAGGCTCGCCATTTTTTCCTCTCTCCCATTTTGGAAACTTAAACTCTACACCTATCAGGGATCTATCTGGCCTCGCTAACAGATCCTCCACCGTTGTGGTCCCTCTCCCCATGCGCTGCCAGAAGGCCTTCGAGTCGGACTCAAGATGCAAATTCACAACTTGGCCAGCGCTCTCTCCCCCAGGACCCGCACCTGTGGCAAAACCATGCAAGCACATCAACGTGTGAGCACAGTACACACTGTACACGACGTGGAGTACACATTACAGCACTGTATCAAGTGACAAATACCCATATTCCCCATGGTTACCTGCGTGTCTTGCTGCCCTCATTAGCCTCTCTGTGACATGTGGCGCAACTTA